TATTTATGTCTATACCATCTAGAATATCTTCTGTTTCATCCTTAAGATCTTCTATCTTTTTTAGTATCAATAACTGTAGGATAAAACAAAATTAAAGTTAAAATAGTAATTTTTAAATTATAATTATTAATATAAGCTCAGCTAATGAAAACATTACTTTAGCAGCTTCGACAATGTGTATTGATGCGTTTTTACTTAAATATGGAATATTTTCTCTTAAATCGACCGGTTTCACTCTGGCGATACATTGTAATGTTTTATAACCTGCATTATACAATTGACGTGCTCTTCCCTAAGTAAAAAATATGCAGGTATTAGAATTTGTGCATTAATGACCGTTATATGGAATATATCTTCGTTGAACTTACAATTTTCACTTGTGGTAACTCCATTAATACCTCTAACTCTAGAGGACAGCAATAAGACAATCGTTTACTGAACACATCTAATATATTTCCAAATGACCAAAATTCTTCCAACTCCTAAAATGATTATTCAATTTGTATAAAGAATGAACTCATAAATACAGATGATCTAATAATTTACCTGACAAAATCGAACTACAGAAGAAGCAAATGAAGAAACTCCTGTTAAAAGGTTTTGTAAAATACCTCTATTTACTTGATATTTGTCTGCTATTGTATAAACTGCATGATGTGTCCACAAGTCATACAATATTAATGTTACGTAAAATCGTTGAGTTACTCTTGGTTCCACATTCTGTTAGATTTGAAACGATTTAAATAAAACATGTTTGTTGCAACAAAAATATGATTGATTACCTTAGGCATTAAGCCGTCGCGTAATTTGATAATGGATGTCTCGTTAACTCCAAGAAGTCTTGCTGTTTTCATTTGTGTCTCTGATAAATTAGTGACCTAAAAATTCAACAAAAGCTATGAACATTGTATAAAAAGAATAGATCTAATAGCACATAGAAATAATTAATTACCACATCATAATAAATGGATCCGATTGGTTTTATTTGAGACACAATATCGTATGGAGTAACAAGATATAAAAGATGCAAATAATCGACAAGAATTAAGTGTTCCTGTGCTCTTTGTAAATCTGTGTACAGTGTATACGCAGAGTTCATATCAATATTACCTACAATATGATATTAAGTCTGAGAAAATGAAAACTGCAAAAGATTTTCATACTTTCTTTAATAAGTAAATTTAGTTCTACCTTTCATAGCAGCTCGCCCCAAGCTACAAAGTTCTAATTCAGTTTCACCCAGCAGTGTAACGATTGTCTTTTTCTTGTTGATTTCTGTGACTTTATTAGCAGAGTCTTCATCTTGCGATGGGATAGCAACACTTACGTTCGGTTTGAATCCTCTATAGCTTCGTTCCTGCTTAACTTTCATTACACCACTTTTTAAAAATTCTGTTATTGCTTTGTCTGCAACATGTTTTATGTTAACATCTAAACGTTGTTGTTGAATATTGAGTAAAGTGCGTTTTGATAGTTTATGTAACTGAGATCTAGTTTTCGCTATAGAAAACAATGTAGCACTTAAAATTAAATTATTAATGCCTCTGTCATTGTCAACGTGTAATTTACTTAAACAATCATCCATTTTAGACATTAAAAGTTCCTTCACCTACAACAAAGAAAAAAAAACAAAACTTCTAATATTTGATTTATGTGATATATTGTACTAGAAGATATAGTATTATTACCTTTAATAAATCATTTTTTTTACATATTAGTATACTTTCTCCAATATTTCCCATACCAGCGCGACCAGCTCTTCCAATCATTTGTTTGTATCTACTTAAATTCAAAAACTGATTGCCTACATACGGACTTCTTAGTATTACCTGTAATATTTGTCGAAGTTAGGAGACACAGATCTTTTTTTTGGCAGACACAGGACACTTTTTACGATTCAAAAGAACTGTGCTAATAAAGTACCCTTCTTGCTGGTAAGTTTACTCCAGCAGCTAATGTTGACGTGCAACATATAACACAGATAGTTCCGACTCTAAAAGCGTCTTCTAATAGCCGTCTTTCTTCGCTTGTAAGGCCAGAATGATGATAAGCTACACCAAATTTTATAGTTCGACGCAATATAGGACACAGGCCTTCCTCGGTTTGAAGCGCAGTTAATAAATTTTGCTTCTCATCCTTTTTATGTTCTTCCAACGATCTGAAATTTATACGTCCAGGATGAGCAGTAGGTAGTACTGACAGTACAATCCAGAGGATAATGATTCTACATACAAAAATGTAAAATATCTTTTCATTTAAGGCTCCGTTTTCGAGAAAAATTAGATTGACAAAATAATACTATTGAATAAGAATCAAGGTGGCGTGTCTGGTCGTGACATACCAATTCTACTACTCATCATACAACAAGCCATGCAAATTTGACACATCTTTCAACTCACTTTTCTCGAAAACGCAGCCTTAAATGAAAATATGTTGTTCTTTTTTCGACTTGTTTTTGCATGTAGAATATCCTCTTTTCCGGTTGTACTATCAGTTACTGGCCTAACCCTGCATATATAATACTTAAATACATAAAGAACGCATCTAACATTGATATGAACATATTAAAATTTCAAAATTTTAAATTGTAAAAAAATATATATCACCTGAATAAAACTTTAGTTAATAACAAGGCAACATTTTCACAATTCTTACGACTAGAACAAAATATGAGACAGGAATCTCGTGGAACTACATCCATTACTAAACCTCCAATTCTGTCTGGATCGATGATTGCTGCATCATTTGAGTACTTATTAAACAAAAATACAATTAAGAAGTAGCTTTTAAATTTTTTACAGTCAATAAATCGATTGAAGTAAATAAACATACACGGTAATTAATTTTCTTTAGATCTGTTAAGAGATCTTCGGTTTTTAGGTCGAGTAGCCAAATGTTATCATCACACTTAACATACTCTTTAATTTCAACAGGTCTAAAATTTCCAATGTATAAATCTGCATTCAAAAAGTCCGCAATTTCTTTTAAATTGCCTATTGTTGCACTCATACCAATAATTTGAAGGTTTTCTAAAATATGCAATAAGATATTATACAAGTTGTCTCCAGACTGGCGAGTAATAAAGAAAAATAGTTGAATTTACACGATAAAAATAGGTGGAAAATTCAAAATAAAATTTTGTAGTAATCCTCTTCTCTCTAACTACAATTTATATAATATATCTCATTTCTTTTTTATTTTTTCTTACCATTAATATATAATGCT